AAAGGAGGGATCAATACCACGTCTTTAGATGAAGGTACATCCTCTGAAGTCCGATGTCTGGAGTATTCCCCGTGCCTACCAGCCGCAGAAGTATTCCTTCTGGAAAATGCTTCAACAGCGCCAGAAAACTTGTCTCGAATATCTTGCCCCACTGGATTGTAGAATTAACACATCACAAGCGTCAGTGAATGATAAATTGCCAAACGCTGCAAGTTTACAAACAAGCAGAGGCAGCAGATGCTAGCAAAAGTTCAAGAGCTGAATCCTCATAATTCAGGGAAGAAATAATCTGATACTCAAAAATCAAGAACAAAAACTCACATATAGAAAGATTTTCTTCTTTTGCTCATTTATTTTTTTGATAGAGAACTTTAATATTATTATTATTATTATTATTATTATTATTATTATTATTATTACTACCATTATTTCTACATATTTAACTTATTTTTCAGTTTTATTTTTATTTGCTATGATGATGACATGAATTGAGCTTAAGTGGAGAAACATGGTCCATGAGGATTCATATAGATGACCCCAACTTGTTTGGGATTGAGGCATAGTAGTTGTTGTATTTTTTCGATGTCTCATTGATAGAAAGATATGATCTTGACATTTGTCTTGCTTGAAGAAATAACTGAATGCAATAAATCAAGCTAGCTGAGTAATTCCTAAAACCAGCTACTAAAAATTTCCACAACTTCAGTAAAAAGATAATACCTGACGTCCTTCCTGGTCTTTCAGCAGATGGCCCAGCATTTAGTCCGGCGTTCCCACTAGGAATCTGGAAGCAAGACAATGCATACACTACTGTTCATAAAAAAGATTAAGCAACAATTATCAATGATAACAACTAAAATAAAGTTTTCAAAACTAACTCGTCCTCTTGAACTGGCACCGATCTGAGGATACTTCAAAATTGTCCAATCAAATACATAGTCAAATTGATAACCTGCACCAACGAAAGAAAGATTTTTTTTTTTGGATCGTTATGAAAGTTAAAGATACAAAGCCCACATCATATCTATCAAAGGCTAAAGTTGGGGTAGTTAACAGCTGGGATAAATTTTGGAGCCAAACAGTATGAATAGTCAGGTTTATACAAAGAAAAAACAAGAGAAACTACCTTCACGAATAAACAAGTCTCTAAAAAGCCTCTTCAAATATGAATAGTCAGGTTTATCCTCAAATCTTAATGATCGGCAGTAGTGGAAGTATGATATGAATTCAGATGGATATGATTTGCACAGCACCTGTAATGGACAAAAAATGGAGTCTTCTCTGGATTACCTCATGCACTACTCATCAGAGGCAAGATGGCCTAAACTAAGGCCAGAATATTATCCACAACGACAACAGTACAATTCACCAGAATAAATACATCTGACATGACCCATATTGATCCAACCCAGGGCAGTTTCGTGTTTCAATCACAGTTCAATAAGATATTGAGACGAGGATTGCAGCTTTGACATGACGGATGTAGTGATAATTCAAAAATGGTGAGTAGGTAACAGACCACCAAGATGTATTGATTTTAGGGAATAAGTACCTCTATTGGTGTTAACATCTTTTTCTCACTGATTTTATCATATTTCTGCTTCTTGGTACCAGCTTTCAGTCCCTGCCATGGAAGGCTGAGCCAAGAAGAAATTATCCGAATTCAGAAAACAAGTAAACCCCGTGAATTTACAAAAAGAAACAGAAGGTCAGAAAAATGGCTAAAGAAAACATATAAGTCCAACCTTCCTCTAAGAAAATACATAAGCACATAACCAAGAGATTCCAAATCATCTCTTCTGCTTTGCTCTGCCAGAAAAATGAAAAAGGACAACAATTATAACTAATATTGAAGCTAGCTACGCCCCGAATAGTTTGCCAATCCAAAAAAATACACCTACCAACTCCGAGATGTGTGTTGACGCTGGCATACCGAGCTGTTCCTGTCAGATTCTTGTTTTCCCTGGGGAAAATAGAAGAGAAGAGCATACCAGAGGCAATCAAGAAACAAATTTCTCAAAACAGTGGAAAAGAACAAAACAAGGAATCAAAAATTTGAACAACATGCGGTCTTTATTTTTTCATCCTTTTGCTTCTACAGTCCCTTCATGGACAGTGAATGAACAAGCTAAAACGAGAAACTGCTGATTTTTCATATTGAAGCAGAACTTCAAAAGAGAAAGAACTCTAGCAAAGCCAGCTAGCTCAATAAATTCATATAACTTTTTACTAAAGGAAACAGCAAACACCAAATGTGAACGACGTTTCTGATGCTTCTTCTCTTCTTTTCTTATAAGGTGAATAATTTTATTAAAAGTTGGAATATCTCCTATACACATCCGGTTACCAAAAAGTTTGAGAATCTATAGATAATATGATTCTCTACGAATAACACTCAGCTTAAATACAGACTAGAGCCTGATGTTGCTCGGACTCTCCAAAAGTGATGCCGCACCCGTGTCAGATCCTCCAAAAATGCACTAAATTTGGAGGATCCGACACGCACCCAACAATATTTTTGAAGAGTACGAGTAACATAGCTAGAGCCTCATCATGCTTCTTCCTTGATCAATCTTCCGCACTTAATAATGGGAAAGATATGGCAACAACATTTTCAAGAGAGAAAGATGGAAACAACAATCTCAATGAAAAATACTAAGATATGAATTTGGTCAACACTGTAGTGATGTCTTTGTATCTGTACAATGCTAGACAGCCATTAAGTGCATTAAAGAAAATAGTTCATTTTCTGAAATTACTGGAAATACTAAATGTGTCTTCCAAAAGGCTCCCTTCCTATTAGGACACTAAAAATCGTAAATATTAAATATCATTCTAGCAATTGAAATACTCAGCTCATTGGCAGAGCAGTGCCAACTAAATTAAACAACTATCCTATAGAATGTCATTGAGCTTCTTAACAGTCGGAACAAAATCTTATACAGTAACATCTTCCTAACCAATGCAAGAGTATTTTCATCCTGCATCTTTCCAGTAATTTCTAAGCACGTTTCTTTTATTTACACAGCTTCCATATAAGAAACTAGTCAATGATGCCATCAAAGAAAAAGTAGGAAAATTCTGAAAGGTGGTTTAAAAAGAAAAATAGGACATTAAGCACCGCAAAGTTCACACAGAAAAATTGAGACTTTACTTTCATACTTGATCAAATAACAAGTATCAACATTCACCAACCCCGTATTAGGTGTTGCATACACCAGGGTGTCCAGAAAGTGTGAGTTTAGTTTTGATGTTGCCCTTCTAGCCTTTTGACTTGATGGCTGAGAAAGGGTAAATCATTTTCTCTAAGTTGCTTCACTGGCTATATAGTGATGTATTAAGTTGTCCGCCACTAAATATTTACTGGGAGATCTTAATTGGAAGATTAAGTACTTCTAGCCGTTAAAACTATTTACAACCAAATTCTCACTATTGCTTTGATTAGTCCAACCAAGTCTCTAGAACTCATACAACAGGCACCAAACAAACAAAATTCTTGCTGATGGAAGTTTGCTAGGGACGATGAAAGAGAACCAAAACTC